TACTTTGTGGCAAGTTTGGTTGAAATTGGCCCAGTGGTTCTTGAGAAGAAGATGAAAATGTGAAAAGTTTACAACAACAACAACGACGACAACGACAACAACGACAACAATGACGACAGACAACGGACAAATTTTGATCAGAAAAGCTCACTTGAGCCTTTGGCTCAGGTGAGCTAAAAAGGTTTACAGACAAGAGAGATTACTTATGACACATAGATGCTGGGCATTCTTCGATCAGAAAAGCTCACTTATACATATGGCTTAGGTAAACTAGGAAGTCTTTAGCACACTAACCCAATAACTAAATTCATTGAAATGTTTATTTTACCAAATTCCAATCTCGAGGTGTATTGATTGCTGCAAACTATCGATTAATGGTCATCATAAAGCAAAATATGTGAAGAATTGATTGTTATTTTCATAATCAAAAATCGGTAAAAAAAAAAAGTTGGTAATTATTCATTGTATGAATTAACCCTCCATTTATTAACAATGGCTGACAAAGATAGTCAATCCGAGATGGATAAAACAATAATGAAAATTAAAAACAATAGATCTTTTTCCATGACAAGAGGCCCGAGGGCCTTATAGGTCACCTGAGTATCATGCAACAACTTTCCAACAATTGAATTTGGTTCGTTTTTTTAAACCAGAGGCCATGAAATTCACAATTTTGAAAGAGGCACCATTGCTCATCATAACTATACACTTTGCATGCTTAGTTTGATTACTTAATTCCCAGAGTCAGAGCAGAGGAACAAAAACTAGAATTGTCCAAAAGGGACAAATACCCCCTGCTGGGTTTTTCAGAGAAGGTACCAAATCACTAATGTTTTCTAGATGTGAGAAGTGTTCACAATTTGCTTAAACATTTAAAGTGAAAATTTAATTACTCATTATATTTTTTTAATGAATGAAACTAAGGTGCAGCCTAATAAAACATCAATACTAATAATTACAGTGTTTTTTATTACATTGACAAAATAGTTTGCAATTATCTGTCATCTTTGTGAGACATGATACTCTGCAAATTGATTGTTGAAAAAAAAAAAAATCAATTATACAAAATCAAATTGATTTTAATACCTTTATATCAAACTCATTTTAAAATAAAAGGCTGGTTCCAGTAACTATGTATTTTGACAGACATAAATTACAATTAAGAGACTTAGACAACAGAGATCTTTATTTCTTTCTGCCCCATTCCCAGGAGATATAGATAAGACCTGCTTGATCAGTCTTTAACTACTCAGTTAATCTTTAACTGGATGCATGTCCACTCATTACTCCCAAGGGACAAATGGATTAACACTATCTGCTGTGTAATGTAAAAACTGTTTTTAGTACTTTGTGATTTTTTTTTAGTTCTAATGAGTAGTTTTAAGCTGTAGTTCTAAATTCCATGTCTCAAACCTTCGACATGAACCCGAAATGACTAAGTCAATAAAAATGAAAAAAAAAACAAACATGTAAAATGCAGAAAAATTATCAAAAAATGTTGAAAATACCAGGTGCACATCTTCATATAGTAAATAATAAGTGTACAAATTTTCATACAAATCTATGCAATAGTCTCTGGGAACAGATCCGGACAAAACCCCACAATAAAAATGAAAAAAAACACCTGTAAAATGCAAAAAAATTATCCAATCATGATGAAAATACCAGGTGCACACCTTCATATGGCGAATAATAAGTGTACAAATTTTCAGACAAATCCTTGCAACAGTTTTCAAGAAATGGTCCGGACATAATCTTGTTTACAGACAGACGGACATGCTGATTCCAATATACCCCCCCCCCCTAAACTTCGTTTGCAGGGGGTATAAAAAAAATGCATTTCCACTATATAATCAGTAGTGCCCCACCCCACAGGAACCCCTGACCCTGGGCCCACACATTTCACAATTTTGGAAAAGGCACCCTTGCCTACTGATAATAAATGTTTGATTAATACCAAAGAGCAGATTTCAAAGTATTCATTCAATTTCAGTGTATATAATCATTAGAGCCCCCCCCCCCCATGGTACCCCTGACCCATGGGCCTTGAAATTCACAATTCTGGAAGAAGCATTCTTGCTCCTCATTACTATGTACTTAGATCATCAACATAATACACAGGAGCAGAGGAGAAGATTTTTCAAAGAATTAATGCATTTTCACTATATAATATATAGAGCTCCATCCTAAAACCAGAACCCCTGACCCAGGGGCCATGAAATTCACAATTTTGGAAGAGGCACCCTTCTTAATCATAACTCTGTAGTTCATCAGCTTAGTACCCAGGAGCTAAGGAGAAGATTTTCAAAGAATTAATGCACTTTCACTATATAATCAATAGAGCCTCGCCCTAACACCAAAACCCCTAATAGCTTTAACATTAGAACCACTGACCGAGGGGCCTTGAAATTCACAATTTTGGAAGAGGCAGCTTTGCTCATCATAACTATGCATTAAGTTTATTTGCTTAATACCCAGAAAAAGAGGAGAAGATTTTATAAGAAATAATGCATTTTCACTATATATTCAACAGAGCCCCACCCTGGCACCAGAACCCCTGACCCTGGGGCCATAAATTTCACAATTTTGGTAGAGGGCTCAATGCTTATTACAATCATGCCAACAGTTTGGCTGCTTGATGTCCAGAAGTAAAGAAGAAGATTTTTAAACATTGCATTAATTTATATTGATGATTTTAGCCCTACCCCTCAGGTCCCAGGGAGGCAGGAGCCATGAATTTCATAATATTTACTCCCCTTCACCCATAGATGCTATATGCTAAAATTGTTTGAAATTGGTTCAGCAGTTTCAGAGAAGAAGCTGAAAATGTTTAAATGTTAATGCAGGACGAACGACGCATGCCAATGGACGAAAACATATAGCAATAGGTCACCTGAGTTTAGGTGACCTAAACAAGAGGCCCAAGGGCCTTAACAGTCACCTGAGTATAATACAACAATTTAGAAGTTAAATACACTGAAAGATGAAGCTTTGTTGCCCTAAAGCAAGAGAAGTAGGAAGATCAGGATCAACAAAATAATTAGTCTAGTATTCAGTATCAACTCATAAATTAAGTTCTAATCTGTCCCCCACTTAACACTATCACCATGTAGACTATTAACAAACTATTAGTGCTTCTGTACTATTTTTAAAACCATATTAAGACCTCTAGCATTGACCTCTCTTATGGTCTTTGAAGAACTTTTAATAAGATAAGTTATTTTTGTCTCATTTTTATTTATCTATTACTTACAGGTCTACCTGATTATTAAAATTAAGAAAGTACTTTTTGAATTATACGATAAACATTCTTGCATAATTATCTTATTCTATTTACCTTTCAAATACATTATTTACAGTGATTAATTATTAAAGGTGAATGGAAAAGGGGAATAACTTCTCTCAGTAGAATACAAATTAATAGAGCCCTGCCCAGGACCAGAATGCTTAGACAAATGGTGCAGATGTTCAAAAATCTGTTAGAAATACGCTTACTTATATCATTTAAACTTTTACTCAGTTTGCTTCCAATATGCCCAGAAGCAGAGAAGAATTTCACAGGTAGAATGCATTTTCACTACAGATTCAACAAAGTGTTACCCTATCACCAGAACCCAAGACCAAGGGTCAAGAAATTTACAAATTTGGAAGAGTTACCCTCTTCATCATAACTATGGACTTCAAAGAATTAACACTTTTCCACTATATTATCAAAAGCCCCCCCCCCCCCCCCCCCCTCATTATGCCAGAACCCTGACCTTAGGACCACAAGATTTAAAAATTCTGTTCAAGCTCCCATTTTCATCATAGCTAAGCAATTTATTTATCAGCTCAACACTAAGGAGCAGACAGGATTAATTAACGATTAATCAATAGAATTAATGCTTTTTCACTATATAATCAATAGAGGCCCCCCCCCCCTCCTCAAAAACCCCTTAAACTGAGGCCATATATTTAAAATTTTTGGAAGAGGCATCCTTGCCTATCATAATCATGCACTTAGTGTGTTTAAATAATCTCCAATAGCCTAGAAGAAGATTTTCAAAGAATCAATGCATTTTCACTATATAATCAATAGAGCCCCATCCTTACACCAGAACCCCTGACCCTGGGGCCATGAATTTCACAATTTTGGAAGAGGCACTCTTACTCATCATAACTATGAACTTAGTTACTTTATTTAATACTCAGGAGCAGAGGAGATGATTTTATAAGAAATAATGCACTTTCACTATATGATCTATATAGCCCCACCCTGGGGCCAGAACCCCTGACCCTGGGGCCATGAATTTCACAATTTTAGTAGAGGGCTCAATGCTTATTACAATGATGCCAACAGTTTGACTGCTTGATGTCCAGGAGTAAAGAAGATTTATAAAGATTGCATTATTTTTGGTGGTTTTAGCCCCACCCCTTAGGCCCCGGGGGGGGGGGGGGGGGGGGGGCAGGGACCATGAAATTCACAATTTTTGTTCCCCTTCACGCATAGATGCTATATGCCAAATTTGGTTGAAATTGGTTAAGCGGTTTCAGAGAAAAATCTAAAAATGTTCAAATGTTAACACACGATGCACGACTACGGACAAAAACGGATAGCAATAGGTCACCTGAGTGACTCAGGTGACCTAAAAACCAAATCAAAAGCATGATACTTCATTCGTTGTAACAAGATAAATGATGTACCTGCATCGGAACAATGTAAAAGTGATCTTGACCATGCCGAAATGACCTTGGTTAAAAAAAAAAATAACATCCTCTGGTCATAAGTAATCTTTAAGTGAAATATGGACATCCAATATGTTTTTCCATTAAAAAATTATGGACCTGGGACATGAATTTTAGCTTTTTCTGTCAATGACCTTGAACTTGCCAAGATATGGATAGGACATGTGTTGAACATTTTTTCTTTAAGTGACCTTGAACTTGATCGAATGGCCCTATATACTTCCCAAAACTTTGTTTGCAGGGGTTACAAAAATAAGAATACAAAGAATTCATACTTCTTTTTGGCTTCAGGTAAAGCTGTAGGATCATCGGAGGCCAGGAAAACCTTGCGCTGAACTCCAGGAATTCGTTGTTCTAATTTACTGAAGTAATCCTCCACATATGTCATGTATTCAGCCACTGAGTGGAATGAGGCCTCAGCAGCCAGCTTGTCTGTACGGCGGATATGTACGCTGTCACAAAATAAAACAGAAAATATGAGGGCTCTTTATCGTAGATATTCTTATAGGACTTATTCCACAGGATTTCAACCTCCATAGCACAAACACAGGTAGTATAACATGAAAAAAAGTCCAGAGGAACACTGTCTACTTGATACTTAAAGAATCATTCATTACAATGAGTGTGGGATAGTGAAATTCCACACACGTAGGTAAGGCCTTAAGAAATTAACAACTTAGTTCTCAGGCCCGCCCGCATCTCACTTAACAATGCACATTACCCATTTTTATCCTCAAATGAATAAAATAAAATTTATCTCATGCACTTGTAAGATGCAAAAAACAAGAGGCCCAAGGGCCACATCGCTCGCCTGAGCACTGTGGCTAGGAAAAAAGGAAAAATCAGTTTAGTATTGAAAAGCTTAAATGCATAAGTGGTCCCAAACTACCCCTAAAAAGGAAGTGGGGGGGGGGGGTGTGTGTCATGATTTGAACAAACTTGAATCTACACTATCTGAGGATGCTTCCACATAAATATGACAAACCGTGGCTTTGCTGTTCTTGAGATTTTTAAAGATTTTTCCTATATATTCCTATGTAAAACTTTGATCGTTCATTGTGGCCCCACCCTACCCCCGGGGGTCATGATTTGAACAAACTTGAATCTACACCACCTGAGGATGCTTCCACATAAATATGACCAATCATAGCTTTGCTGTTCTTGAGAAGAAGATTTTTGAAGATTTTTCCTATATATTCCTATGTAAAACTTTGATCGTCCATTGTGGCCCCACCCTATCCCCGGGGGTCATAATTTGAACAAACTTGAATCTACACCACCTGAGGATGCTTCCACATAAATATGACCCATCATAGCTTTGCTGTTCTTGAGAAGATGATTTTTGAAGATTTTTCCTATGTACACCTATGTTAAACATTGATCGTCCATTTTGGCCCCACCCTACCCCCGGGGGTCATGATTTGAACAAACTTGAATCTACACCACCTGAGGATGCTTCCACATAAATATGACCAATCATAGCTTTGCTGTTCTTGAGAAGAAGATTTTTGAAGATTTTTCCTATATATTCCTATGTAAAACTTTGATCGTCCATTGTGGCCCCACCCTACCCCCCGGGGTCATGATTTGTACAAACTTGAATCTACACCACCTGAGGATGCTTCCAAATAAATATGACCAATCATAGCTTTGCTGTTCTTGAGAAGAAGATTTTTGAAGATTTTTCCTATATATTCCTATGTAAAACTTTGATCGTCCACTGTGGCCCCACCCTATCTCCGGGGGTCATAATATGAACAAACTTGAATCTACACCACCTGAGGATGCTTCCACATAAATATGACCCATCATAGCTTTGCTGTTCTTGAGAAGATGATTTTTGAAGATTTTTCCTATGTACACCTATGTAAAAATTTGACCGTCCAATGTGGCCCCACCCTATCCCCGGGGGTCATGATTTGTACAAACTTAAATCTACACCACCTGAGGATGCTTCCAAATAAATATGACAAATCATAGCTTTGCTGTTCTTGAGAAGAAGATTTTTGAAGATTTTTCCTATATATTCCTATGTAAAACTTTGATCGTCCATTGTGGCCCCACCCTATCCCCGGTGGTCATGATTTGAACAAACTTGAATCTACACTACCTGACAATAATTCCACATGAGTTTCATCTTTCCTGGCCCACTGGTTCTTGAGAAGAAGATTTTTCAATAATGCCATTAATTTTTTGCTATTTCGTAATTATCTCCCCTTGGAGGAGGGTGTGGTCCTTCATTTGAAAAAACTTGAAACCCCTTCACCCAAGGATACTTTGTGCCAAGTTTGATTGAAATTGGCCCAGTAGTTCTGGAGAAGAAGATGAAAATGTGAAAAGTTTACGACAACAACGACGCCGACGACAGACAACGGACAAATTTTGATCAGAAAAGCTCACTTGAGCCTTCAACTGGTGAGCTAAAAAAAAACAAAACAAGAGGCCCAGGGGCCACATCGCTCACCTGAGCACTGTGGCTAGGAAAAAAGCAAAAATCAGTATTGAAAAGCTTAAATGCATACCGTATTTGGCTGAATATAATACACACTTTTTTCCTAGAAAATGTTTTTGTGAGAAAGGGGTGCATATTTTACACCACAACAAGATTTTGATAGTTTTTTCTTTCAGGTGAAACGGAGCTATCAGACATATTGTAGTATTACCTAGAGACATGGGCAATTTCTTATTTATAATCTGTTGATAATGATAACTTGTTGTTAAATGATATTAAAAACAAGTTACAATTAATTTGAGCTGCATATTCATCGTCTCCATGTAGGCCGTCATTGACGATGTTATTCATAGATGTTCACGCATTCCTTTGCCACGTGCTTGCGTAATCATAGTACACATGTACCTAATCAGACACTTGGTTGGAAAAAAAAAATAACTGAGCAATTTTATAATGAAATACAATAAATCAACATTTATTTGGGGTTTTAAATAATGCGGTGAAAATTCATTTCAACATTAACACCTCACTATACCACTGTATACTATATGTCCCAATCGAAGCAAATGTTGTGAACACGGGTGCTTGTCGCTTGATCTCAACACCTCTCCAGGCAAATAAATTGTCTCCTGATTCCAAAGTATTGTTTTTACAGTTAGAGCACTGATTATTTACTGCCCTTATTAATGGCTTTGATCGTTTTCTTTGTTAAAATTCGGGGGTTGATATTTAGCTTTTGTACATTATCTTTCATATGAACTTGTGTTGATTACAACACGTTAAACACTAACAGTTATACGCTTGTTAAATGTAATTTTACTTTAATTATGTTATATTTATCGGCCTCCTGTTTAATTCATTAAGAGTTTAAAAAGGAAATATGAAGTCTTTTAAAACTTAAATGTTATAATTACTCGTGCTCTGTAGAAAATAAGATAACTGCGAAGATTACCTCGATGTATAAAGACATGATTTATACCGTGTCGATCTGTTCAAACTAAAATTCAACAGTACTTCGTGCTTTGTTGAAATAAAATTATTTCTGCAAGGATAAAGACAATGTGCAATAAATTAAGAGGATATCGTGAACTAATTTCTGATATTCTGAACAAATAGTTTTTAAAGATTCTTTTCCCCTAATGTTAATGATACCCATATCAAATGGTTATTTTAGATATGAATATGTTTATTTTTATTTGTATTTTTTTAAAAAAATATTTTAGCCATATTTTTAAAGACTGTTTTGTTTTTAAATTAAATTAGAAACAGTTAATCGATATTCCTAAAACCGATTTTCTTGACAAGCAATTGTCAAGACTTGTTTCTAATTTTATCTAAATTGTCTTCCCTTGGCTCTCTAACAATCAATTGTTAAGAATAATTACCTTTATATTCTATTCTTAGCAATCAGTTGTTTTCAGACTTATTTTCTTTGCAAATAACTGGTTAAACATATTAACTTAATTGTGAAATTCTTAAACAGTTGTTAAGACATTTGTCTTTCAGTTTTCTGAATTGACTTCCCTTTGTATTCTAACAACTATTTGTTAAGACTTCTTCATGAAGCTATCTTTTACAAGCAGTTGTTAGGGTTAAGACTTTTCGTGAAGCTATCTTAGATTCTAAACAAGCAGTTGTTAGGGTTAAGATTTATTCAGGAATCAGGAATCTTTTTTTTTTAAAGTTAAGACATTTTCCTAATGTTTACTGAGTTGCCTAACCTTATTCCTCTAACAATTAGTTGTTAAGAATATTTCTTTAAACTTGTATGTGCTATTCTTAATAATTTTCATTCATTGTCCTGGTCTCTAACAAATTTTAAAAGGATTCCAGGGACCTACTTCTAGCATCCTTAACAAGCAGTTGTTAAGAATTTATTCTGTTTGTCTTCCTTTGCATTTCTAACAACCAGTTGTTAAGAATATATCTTGAAATTTTTTTGGTATTCTTAACAAGCAGTTGTTAAGACATTTTTCCGTTTGACTTCCTTTCCATTTCTAACAACCAGTTGTTAAGAATATATCTTGTGAAATTCTTTTGGTATTCTTAACAAGCAGTTGTTAAGACTTTATTCCATTTGACTTCCTTCGCATTTCTAACAACTAGTTGTTAAGAATATATCTTGTGAAATTCTTTTGGTATTCTTAACAAGCAGTTGTTAAGACTTAATTTATTCTGTTTGTCTTCCTTTGCATTTCTAACAACCAGTTGTTAAGAATATATCTTGTGAAATTCTTTTGGTATTCTTAACAAGCAGTTGTTAAGACTTTATTCTGTTTGTTTCTAACAACCAGTTGTTAAGAATATATCTTATGAAATTCTTTTGGTATTCTTAACAAGCAGTTGTTAAGACTTCATTCTATTTGTCTTCCTTTGCATTACTAACAACCAGTTGTTAAGAATATTTTGTGAAATTCTTCTGGTATCCTTAACAAACAGTTGTTAAAATTCTGTATAGAAGTGTAACAGTTTCACTTTATTTTATTTAACAAGCAATTACTTAAGAATTCCTTTAGCTCATTTTTCGTGTTCTTAACAAACAGTTGTTAAGACATGTCAGATATATAATGGTTTCTTTAACAAGCATTTGGTAAGAATTGGAAAATAAAGTGTTTAAAGTATGCATAGATTTCAGTTGTCATTTATGTACTTAACAACTATACAGAGCTTTTGATCAAATGGAATTGATCAAGTTAAAATGGAAGGTGTTTTCTATGAATAATACCACCATGCTTAAAATCAGGAGTACCGTAAGCTCAAAAAACAAAGACTGTGTATGAAAAATTACTGTGCTTAAATTTTCAATACATTATTTCCACAAAGATTTTAAGTTAAAATTACCGTGATGTAAAAAAGACAACATTACTGCTTGGTCAATTTTTTGACAGCATATAATACAATTGAACTGCGTTTTCCCCCAAATTTTCAAGCCAAAAAAGGAAAAAAGGGAGTGTGTATTTTACACCAATGCGTATTATATTCAGCCAAATACGGTAAGTG